AAACCATGAATAAATACTAGCAATTAGATTTTGCGGTTTTTCATAGCTTTTTCGCATCAAACTTTTGATTATATCAAAGAATGGATCTTCGTTAAAAGCCTATGTGTATGATAGTTATTTCTAAAAACAAACAAAAAAAAAACAAATAAATATGTAAAATAGAGTAAACATAAGCTGACTTAAATCAGTCCGGGAGTATATATAATATAATGATATTGTAAAAATTTTGCCCGCGAGATGCTATGACTCAACCTGTTGTGATCTTGTACGAAAAAGATACATATAAAAAATCATCAGCTATCCCGAATTTATAATTAATTATAGAGAACAAGGTTAGAAGAGAAAGACGATTGAGAAAGGTCTTGAATCTCTTTCCGATTACTGTATATATGGGAGGTTACGCCGGCGCCGAAACACACAACCTATCACACCGATGCAATCCACCCCAAAATGGACTAGTTAAGTATGCGCATAATGTCAGGGCGTGTCTCTTCAAGCATAAAAGCCATTTGTTGTATTTGTGAAATTCTGATTGTTTGTGTCGGGCATTTTGGTCAGCCGGTCTGTTTGTTTACTTTGGCGTGAACGTGTTTGGGTTTTTATTTCACTTATTTCTCATTTCCTGTATTCGTTTTTATCACCGCTGTAATTTCGGTTGTGTTTCCATTGTCGCAGATCCCTGGTAATTTGAGCATGGCAATGTTTATCTAATAAACAAAATAAACGAACAAAATAAAGTCAAAACTAAATTAACAGGCCGTGGCGAAGTATTGTTTACACATATACATAAACACCTATCAGCTTCGAAGCGCTTGTGTGTGTATATTCGCTGTGGTGTTGTTGTTTAGCTGTGGCGTGGTACAGGGTCATTTGCGCCTGTGTCTCTTAATTAGTTTACATATATAATTTATTTATACTTCGGGTTGCGTTTTATTTTCATATCCTGATGTTTATTTGCAATAAGGTACTTCAACCTCGACTCGGTTTCAACCTCGTATTTCCACAGGCTGAAATTTTTCCCTGTCTTCTTAATTTCTAAAATGACTAAAAAGGATTTCAGATTTCCCGTGAGATGGTTATTTCTTTCCCCGAGCAGGGGCAAGTACCTGCATTCAGGATTGTTACTTTTTTCATAACATTGAAGCGGCGAAATAATATTGGACTTCTCGAAGGGAATATTACCAACCCATTTTGGGTTTTGGGTGTGAATATGGCAAATTCCATAAATAAAGGCTCTATAGGATGAATAAATTGTAATTGAAATTGTATTCAGTATTTCAGTAAAGTAACACTACTTTTTAAAGATCCGCCAAGTTGACTTTCTCTTCTTGAAATACTAGAACAGTTTGAAAGTTTGTGCTGAATGTAAAATGTTCCATTTGAATTATTGGCTCTTATATGATGATTATATTGTGATTAACTACCCAGAAGTACCAAGTTTAGGAACCCTTAACTAACATCAAGCAATTATCACTAGATCTTTTAGAGGGTCAGATTGCTCAAATTGAATGTCAGACATAACCTCAAACAACATATGCGCCGTTATTGCAACAGTTCACCAAGTCACATGATCTTAAAAAGTTAAGCTAGCCTAAATCTCACTTTCGAACCAGATGTATTCGTCTAAATATGCGAGAAGGAGTGTTCATTTATGCCTTTGGGCGATGTGCGATTTTTTATGTGAACCTAATTCTTATTGAGGTCTACGCTCGTTAACTGTCATGAACACTACAATTGAAGCCCGAAGCCTTTACATGTGTTCAACAAATAGTGCTTTCATCATTAGAACCAACCTACCGAACCCTCACAATTTACTGCATGCCCAGTCCCTGTTTGCCTGTCAGCTGTCCGTTTACCCATTTGCATTTGATTTTGTAGTCGCATGTGTGCTGTGGTCGCTGACGAGCTTTTCAGTGACTTCCATTTCCACATTTGCAGCAACTCACTTGTTCACCTTTATTTGCCTTTCCTCTGCCATTCCGCCCCAATAACAAGGCAATTTTTTCGTTCTTGGGCAAATTTGGTCAATTAATGAGTGTTCCGATATTCAGTTAATTATACTAATTAGACGCGAATTGCAATTAAAATAACGCGACCATATATCCCACGCCCCTACACTTTAGCTGCGGTCTTTTGCGTGAATTTGATTTTCGTTTTTGTGACCTTTTAATTATTAGTTTTTGTTGATTGTGTATGGAAAATGCATACATTAAAGTAAATTGTGGAGATTAGCCGACGGGGCGGGGCCCCTTCATTGCATTTTCATTCGCGGCATTATAATACTTAATTGCTTGTAAAGAGGGCGTTGCCACATTTCTGTCCTTGATAAGTACTCTATGAATATTTGTGCTGGAAAAAAGCACAATCGTACAAAAAATTTAGAGCTTAATTTCATTCAAACTTAAGTTTTTATGGCGGCACAATTTGTAAAGCTAGCCTATAATTATAATTACGGGAAGTCTAGAAAAACTCCATATAAGCCAATGTAATCAAAATTTTTATATGAAGCAGTTAACAATATAGTTTTTTTGCGTTATATGAGTACGCTTATGCGCACTGTGATCAAATAAAGAAACGAGTAAAGGTTGTTAAGAGATTTCGATAAAATGGGAAAAAAAACAAGAAATGTTAGGTTAGGTTCTAGTGCTGTAATACCAGCCGAGACTCCGAGATACTTCACGATTAATATTATTTTCAGTTAAATTAGTAAAAGCTTTAAATAAAATTGACGCGATAAACACCGAAATGATAACTTTATACAATAAGATATATTCCTTGGTTGTAACTTTTCGAAATAAACTATTTATTTGTCGGTAACAAACAAAATTATTCAAAAAAAATTATAAATGTACACTTTTTCAAGCTCGAAATCCCGACACATTAATGAAAACCTCTTATTTTACAGCTCATTTAAGAGAATACTCATTATTACTCTTTCATTTGCCGTCGTTTAATTTCAGATTTCTTTATAAGCGATTTTTGTTGAAAGCAACGATGGCCCAATTAACTTATACGTAAGTAAATATTCGTATGACATTGCAACCAATATCACAGCTGGAAAGCGTATTCGTACTCTTATATGTTTCTTAACTTCTCCTCCTTCATTCGTGTCGATAATAACCCACTGAAGTGAAATTAATTGCCATCTGCACGAACAGAACTTGGACACTAGCGCAGCTTCGGCATGACAGCCGACTCGACTGACAGTAACTTTCTTAAGTTAGCATGCAATTCAGACTATTGATGGTGGAATAAATGCATCTGTTGAAGGGCAGATGGATGTGCGTGATCCAGCGCATGAGTGAGTTCTTAAATAGCCAACATAAACTGTTTTGAGGCCATCGGTAAAAGTATAAATTATTAACGGTTAGTAATATAATTTATAATAATTTTAATTGCACTAATCTGGTGTCTGTCTGACTTAAATTACTTACTTCTCACAAATTTAATTGAAGTATATGGTAAGCCTTCAGCTTACATCGCACAAAGGAACCTTTCGTTGGAAGTGTGAGTAAAAAGTTTTCTGGCAGATTTTTGGCTAAAGAGCTAACACTCTGACCTCGAACCAGTCGAACCAAAGTTTACTAGAAAAGTTGCGCCAAGCTAAGGTCGAAGGGACCAAAAACGAAAGGAGATTACTCAGGCACTTCGCTCAAATATTTAAAAATAGTTAAAATCTTAATCTAAAGCAATGCCTTGCCATTCCTCGCCTTTTTTCTTCGCTGGAATTTTTGTATTTTTCATTAACTTGCACGGCAAAAAGCTTAAAGTTGGCCGGGTAAGGGATTTTTGTAGAATTAGTGAGACTTTTTTCTCCTTTGAGCTAATTAGCAAGAAAAAGAAATTACTCTGCAGACAAAGCCAAAGCAAATGGTATGTAAATTACTTAAAGGCGTTAAGTGAAGGAATTTAAGAGCACGAAGCAGCGCTTTGATGCTTTTCGCACAAGAAGTGGCGTGAAACTCTGTGTGCGTGTGTCTTCGTTGAGTTAAAATTTTACTACAGCTACTGCTTTAATCATAATAAGCCTTTTAAAGAAATTAATAAAACTAAAATACTTAAATTAGTTACTTTGAATTACACAAGACATATTTTTAAGCTTAAGTTAAGATATAGTTAGACACTCTGTTTAGTACAATGAATATATCCCTTAGAATTTTGAAGTCCAAGTTATTGTCAATACTGCACTTTACTACCTCGTGTAAAATTAGGAAAATATAAAAATCTCATAATTTTTTTCAATAAATTAATCTGGCAATACCGGTTGCGTTTTATACTCTGATTGAAAGTTAGTGTAAAATTCTCCTTGATAGTGAGCTGTTTAAATTTACACTAAAGCTAACGGGAATTAACATTTGAAAATTGGTAACAAATTTTCCAAAAATTTTGAAAATTTAATCTAACTTACATAATTGAGCTCCATTTAGTACCCACATTTTAGTATTTGAAAAAATAAAATAAATTGAAATTTACTTTTGCTAGGAAAGTGCAGCGCTGGTTAAAACATATTTTAATCTATGTGCTCTTAAATATGTTTACTAAGTATATTCTTTTTGTAACTATTATGATTTATATATATTTACATCTTAGTTAATTTTGTTTTCAAACAGGTGGCAAACTAAAATATTTAAACTTCACACTGCTGATTTAAATATATATTACCAACAAAAAAAAATTTATTCAGAGTCTCTAAGAAGCATAACACAATTTTATTTGTGTATTTTTTGACTTCGTATGTACTTTTTTCTCTTTGCCTTGTGAGTGAGTAACGGTTTTTATTTCGTATGTTCTTTTTCTTCTTGGCTTATTCTTTTCATTTGCATTCACTACTTTAGCTTTCGTGAAGTCACTTTTTTATAATCCCTTCCCAACGACTGTACATTTCCCCAAGTGCACAAATATAAACTATTAACACGAAAGAGATTGCAAGTTGCTTCTGTTTTTAACCATTATCTTACTGTAAATTTTACTTACAAAAACAGAAAGAACCCTTTGCTTACCTTATAAAGTATTTCCGGTCGCACATTGTGTTTGCATTTCATCGTGGCGCTGGAGCCGCGCTCCACATACCGCGGCACCACTAATTGCACATCCAGCTCAGATTGTCCATCTAGAAAAGAAGAAGAAAGCAAAATCAACATTAGAGGTGCAATCTAAAAAGAATTTCACGGTGTTGCACATACCACATTCTTGCCTTAGAAATAATTCTTTTGGGGAACTTTTTCCCAAAGGGGAACTGGAGCGCAGTGTTAAAAAAAATTAGTTTGGATGAAACAGTAAATCAAATAGATAATCTGGCAGCTCAATGTAGACACTTGCCTCAGAAATATATGTATATACTAAGCTCTGTTTAACAACTCAACGCTTTTTCTGTCTGGGGAATTCGATAAATTTTTTCGTTTTGCAATTTTTCAACTTTTTAATAATTTTTCTCAATTTAAGCAAACTATATTTTTCAATTCGAGCATAAATGTGATAAAGATTTTAGAATTACTATAGACTTCTCAAAGACTGTAAAAATATTTTTTGACTCTTACAAAACAAAGCTCGTTAAAATTTATAAATGCTCGCAAACGCGGCTATTTTTCTCGACTTTCGGTTGGTTCTATTTTGGTTGGTTAAAACTTTTCGGCAACAAAAAAAAAAAAAGCTGCCAAAATCGGTAAAAAAAAACGAATAACAAGGAGGATATAGAGTAGAGTAGATAGCTGAGGCATCGAGACATCTGAGTTGTGCTTTAATAACTTCAGAGAAATTTTAACTGAAATGAGCATACTCGTGCCGGACGTTTATGTAAACAAAAAAGGGCTAATTATTGAGTTTCAATAACTGTTAAATTCTCTTTTATAGTCAGTTAAACTGGTTGAATATCACTTTTATACAAATTTATGACGAGATAGTCCGAAAACAGGCCTTTTAACTTCTGGAATAGAGATAGTCAATTACATCAATACATTTGTAAGAACATTTATATATATACACCCTAGCTAGTCAATTATTCATAAGCATATTAGATTTATAAGCAGGTTACGTTACTAGGCGTTTATATGACACTTCGCCCACATCTGATTTGTTGTTGCCAGATAGTGTAGAATACATACATTACTTATACCTATAATGCTCATCTGGTAAGCAGCAAAGCATTTATAAAAATATTTGCACTAAAAATTTAAAGCACATATGAAGAAAGTGCAAAGCAAAGTGAAGGCAAACAGTACTATACAATATACATCTAAGTTATTGCTGCACTAGCAACAAGTGGGAATACTTCTTGTTATGTCTCCTAGTACAGAAAACTGCTTAAATATGTCTATGAGTTGTGGCTAGTTGTTGAAACTATAAAATCTCGTAGAAGTTGTCTTGCCAAACAGCTTGGATTTGATTTTTACCAGGGTTAAGGTATCAATATCAATATCCTATCATTATTAGGAGAATAAAAACTAAAGTTTAGGTTAGGTTAGGTTAGGTTAAATGTATGATCCCTCAGTATTGCGGAAGGATCACACTTAAACTGTTATGTACAGTCATTTGTGATGCCAAACGAAAAAATCCTGTAGTTGGATATCAGCTTTCGGAAAAAATTCCCTGAACCTGTCACAAATCTACTTTGATGTTCTATTTTTATTTCCGCTTTTCAACTGAATGTCTAAAAGTATGAGATCCGAGATGATGCAGCTGGCATCTGGTAATATAGGTATTCATAATTACTGCGTGCATCCCGATCGGACAGTGTCCAGTTAGAACTCCTACAACCATTGAAAGGTGGACCTTGCTGAGAGCGAAGAGTTCCCTGAGCCTCTTACGATTTACCCTGTGCTAGAAGGAGCTTGCGACTGCACAGCTGCTGGTAGTCGACCAGCGCTTGCTGATTTGGTCTGAGGCCCAACAGTCCAGTAGTGAGTTCCTACCCGTTCCCATTTCGCAGTTATTGAGACTGAAGTACCTGTCCTAGCAAACTCATCAGCTTGTTGCTTGCAATACCGCTGTGGCTAGGTACCCATACTAGTCTTAACATAAAATTACTCTATGCTCGAGATAAGGTATCTAGACATCTGTTCACCATCCTTAAGTGCACAGTCAGCGAACGAAAGGCTAATATCGCTGCCCTACTTTCGGAGTGGATAGTCATCACTGTCAAGGATAACAGCATCTCTCCTCCAACGAGTCCTTCCCTCGGAGAAAATGCGAATTTTTATAAATAAATAATAACAGCTGTCACTGCTCGTCATTTTTTCAATGACAACAAACGCATCACATTCACTGCTGGGTATGGACTACCCATGCCTTTCGCATCCACGTATGAGTATGTATGTGTGCCATATAAAAATATTATCATTTCTAAAAAAGCGAAAGCGATATTGGTTTAAGCTTATCGAGCTTTCCTTTAAGCGTCTATAAGAGCTAATACGATGAACATATGTGCAGGATATAATCTAAAGAATTGTGTACAAACTGTCACATAAGAATATGAAGCTATTTGGCTAAGTGGCTAAATTTCGAAAAATCTACTACGTTGCTAAATTCATGCTTCGTTCAACCAAATATTTAACTCTTAAATATAAAGTACATATATATTTTTATATGTTATATATGTAAAAATAAGGTACTTACGGAAAACCAGTTATGTTTTTGTCCTTACGATGAAAATATCGAGGTCTCATATTTTTAGAACCTTTTATGTTCGGATATAATCGCAAGATATAACGAAAAATGTAAACAGTCGATATTTTCATAGTTACAACGGTCCAAGATAAAACACAAGGGTATAATCGAAAACGCACTAAAACTCCCACCGAAATCGTTCATACAACGGGCAAAAAACAAATTGAAAAAAATTTAAAGAAATGGCAACTTGGCTAAAAAATATTTTTAAATGTAAGCACTAAATTTCTCTAGTTCTATGTCCTATAAAATGTATTAAATTAAAATATTTTAATTGCCGGCGATCCTCTCCCGAGCATAAGTTGTTTAAAAATCTTCAGGAAATAATTAAACTGGTTTTGATTTTGGTATAATTTTTTCTAGCATATTGTGATCCAATCTGAACAATATATTAAGAGATTGTGGCGTTTTCTTTGAAAATAATCCATGCCAAATTACGTGAAATATCTTGTCAAATAAATAACTTGATTTTGATGGGCCAGTTACTATAACAGGGATTGTTATAGTGGTACGATGAACCATTTCGGCAAATAATCAGCTCTTTGGGGAGAAAAAGAAGTGATGCTAGCGTGACGGACACAATTTCATTGCAGTCTGGCGATTCTAATAGCGTGCCCTTCAATTAAATGTATAAGCGTTATTTTAGTAAGAAAAGGTTAGTCTGCTGATGTAATTTATTTCAATTATACCGCAAAATGCTGGAACTTGTTTTCAATGCATCAAAATTCTTAGTACTTCTAAAATATCTACCACTTTTCACTTGTCCCAGTTTTCAAACCAAAACACTCACTCACTTATTTAAATATTTGCATATATGTATATATACACTTAAGTACATTTCGCAATTTACTTTAATAGAAAAAGGGATGCCACGAAAGTGCGGTTTCGTGAAAATACTGTCTTTGTAAACTCAAAGCAGCTAAGATGATTTAGGGCCGTAAAGTCAATGACAGGCATTACACACTTGATCACTTCTGCATTTGGGTTGTTCATTTTGCACTTTTGCCAGCAATTTTCTCTCAGTCCTTTTTGCCAATTTTCAATTCTCCGCTATTCTTAGTCAAATAGTAAACACTTTGCGTCTCGTTCAATGTCGCTAACCACTTTTTTTTTGTTGAGCTCACGAATGACAATGACTATCGACTTAATGGATGCGAAGCAGCGAAATGACAGTAGCAGCCACTCAACTCGCTCTCTAACGGTAGTGGCCGCGGAGGGTAGATTAAGAAGAACACTTTTATGTTGGAAAAATGGAAACAAAAATCGATTTTCAATTTTTGAGCAAATTTATGGGTTTATTAAAAGCTATTGTAGCGCGATTTTATGGCCATTTGGGTATAGTTATGCTCTCACAACAACAGCAACGGATACCAGGTAAGCAAACAGAGCAAAAATACAAAAAACAATTTTATATAAACATATGTATATATATGTATATGCATATAAATTGTATGGATATATGTACAATACACATATATGTGTGTATGTAACATACCATATATGTTGCCTAGATCCAGCAGCGGCACGAATCGCTTAACAGTTCGCGATTTTATCTGGTAGAAATATTGTGCCAACTGTTACCCGCTTATTAATCATTCAATTAAGCGCCTTTTCGGCCCAATCGCTGCCGCCAGCATCGTATATGAATGTCGGTTTGGATCGACTATTACTTGCGCTTACTACAGCTGAATATTAAACACGCCAGTCATTTTGAAGCACTCCGCTGAGGAAATACCGCTATGCCGATACAGGAACTGTGCGCTGGTGAGCACGAGTATTAGTATCATTCCCATATGGTCATAAATCTTCTTAATCCCAACCAAATAAACCTTAAGCTTACAAACGCAACACGCCACAACAACAATATCATGAGCTTAAACAACAACAATAGTACAATAACAAATCGCATTTAAATGGCAAATCACAAAGCGGGCATAATAAATTTGAATGCTATAAATTGGTCAAAAAAGAGGAAAAGCCAACACAAAGAGACCAAGACAGCCTGACACTCGAACAATGCTCGTACATTCTTGGCAGCAGCGAAAGCCTAAAAAATCGTTTAGGCAGAAATTGAAGAAAAGTTAATGCAGAACAAGTGTGGACGCAAGGAGTGACAAAGCAAACTTATGGGAGTAGCATAAATCCACCAATCTCGGTGCGATTGCATCGCGTAAGCCGGTTTGGCTTTTCTTCTTGCTAGATTCCTCTAAGCTACTCGAAATGAAGCAGAGTGACTGTTCAGCCGACCGTTAATTATTTCAAAATATTGCGTTGCGCCACAAAAGTCGGCCATACTGCGAAAGACAGAGAGGGAGAGAGAGAATAGATGGTAGTAGCCGATAACGGATTGGTTCGCACAACGGTTTTCATTTTGCTACAGCGCTTCCAGATAGCCATTAAGGCTATATCGGCGTCGATTTTCTTTTTAATTTCGCTTTTATACAATGC